ATAATCCATTATAATCGATTATAATCGATTATTTATTCGTCTATTTTTTGAAACAATTATAATCGATTATAAATGATCATAATCCATTATTTTAAATCAAATTTTTGGTTCTTTAGTTTTGCACAAAAATCCATAATAATCGATAATAATTGATTATAATCCCTTTTGTTTGTCCATTCTGTCTTCGAAGTTGCATCTAAATATCTTATATTTTATACGTTTTGTAGACGTTGGTTCCTATGAAAAACGAGAAAATTTTTTTAAAAGTTTTCCAATCAATTCAAATTAATAAGTTTTTTTTTATTTCTCCCCCATTAGAGTTGTTTTGTGATGGATATTCTAAGCTTTTTTAAATACCACATCATCAGCGAATTGATTTAGTTTCATGATTGATTACGAAGATTTCAATTATCATTTACCGCTGGAACCTTTCCACTAATAACCCATAAGATAGAATTAGAATAGAGTTTTTAACTGACAAAATTTCAGAGGAAGAATTCAAAGGAACTAGAAAGCGGCTATTCTTATCACGAAAGAAACTACAAAAAGTCAGAAATAAAATTTGAACGGAAAAATTGAATACAAGTTAACCAAAATAAATCACTCTCCCATCTAAAACAACGTGTCGTAATACAATTTTCGCGCTTTCAAGTTTCGTATAATCTGAACAGTGCACAAAAACTTCAGATCAACTTCAAAATTTGATCTCAGTCTATTATAAAGGGGTTTAAAGGATTATTTTTCTACGGAATCAATTGACTATAAAATAGTAGTAATCGTATACCCCATCATTACAACGGCGGAGAAGGGGGGAATTTTGTCCCCCTGTGATTGCAACGAGTGGCAAAAATTTTGACAATCTCCGTTGGCTATGGGCAGGGACAGCTTTGGTCATACCTGTTGCAACTACAGGGGACATAAAACCCTATTTTTTTTCTGTCGGAACGGACGGAAATTGTTATGGCACGCTCTCCCATGGAAAATAATTCCACATTTACCGTACCGCCAGCTGTGCCAATTTTCAATTATAATGAAACGGTGTATTTGGTGAATTCTGAATGGTAAAAGCTATGTGAAGACTCCTGAGTATATGGGAGATTCTTATAATTAGCCTCTCTGATTCCATGTCTATTGTTGAAAACAAAATCCGATGCTTCCAATCTGTTATAGTTAATTCTTTTGTTATCAGTCGTTGATACAGGAGTTTCTGCATTGAGCATACCATTTCGATTAAGAATAATTTCATTCAGCTGAACCTTTTGATAATGAAAAGTGTTTGTTCGATTCGTACCTAAATATGCGGTATTCGTGTTTTTGCCACAATCATTCGACGATTTGGCTCTTCATTATAAAGATCTTTTTGTCGCTAGCTTTGAACACCAGTTGTGGCAAAAAACTTTATTACAAATCTTTACTGCTGGTGTTCTCAACATCAATTTTTCTAACTATAATAATACAAAATCTATTCCTGTCATTATGCGCATATAAAGGTTAACCTTGGTAGTTTGTGAATAGAATTGTTTGTCATGATGCTCTAGCTTTAAAAAAACGGCATAACTAGATCGTCTAAGAGAAAGACTAATTGTAATCCCAATCATTCGATGCTTGTCACATGATAAGAAATCACATGCAATTTTAGAAAGAGTTCGGTAGATGCAGCTATTTCCTGTGTACAATCAGCGACATCTTCAGCCCGCCCATAAGCACCATCAATACTTGACAGATCATCATGATATTAACATCCGTGACAAGAAACCTGTAAAAACATCCTGTTTCCTTTGCATCAATATCGTGAGAGATCTTGTTCATGTTCTGAAAAGTTTTTGTGCAAAAATTTTAAAGTTTTAAGAATAATAAGCGACTATCTTGAATTATTTTTTACAGTCTCTGAAACACCAAACCTGCATAATTTTGTTGCTTAAGAAGATATCAGAAACAAGTTTTTTGTCAAATCATTAAAAATACAATTTATCGACTTTTATCGGTTTCCATAGATTATGATCTTCAAAAAATTTGGTCAGTAAGCTTCTTTCACGGAGCAAAAATGTCTGCTGTTTTTAAAACATGTCTGCTGTTTTTAGCTCAGTGAACGTTGAAACAGATAAAATGACGTTCGTTTATTTAAACTTTTTATCTTCTGCTAACCTTTTTCAACTCTTCCAATTCTACCTCCATTTTCTTCCTAGGTATATGACCCACCTCACGCTTTTATTACTTCATTTTTACCAAACCATGTTCCTGCGCGTTCACCCCTTTCGGCCCATGATTTACGGATTAGGTTGAATGTTTGAGGGGTCTTATGGTTGAGAGGTTGAAAGGAAGCGGCTATTATTGTCTGGGAATAAGCTACGAAAAATCACAAAAAGAATTAAACGGAAAAAATGAATACAAAATAACACTTTTTTAAACCAAACTAAATATCACTGCATCTAAAACCACGGGTTTTAGGACAGTTTTCGAGCTTTAAAAAATCATACATTTTGAACTGTTTGTGAAAATTTCGGATTATCTTCAAAAATTGATCTAAAACTTTTATGAAGGAGTATCATGACTTTAAATGGTTATGCTCCTACACTGAAATGGTGCAATTGGACGATTCAAGTCGTTTAAAGCCATATGAAGTTTCCTGAATAGATAGGAGATCAAATGTCATAAGGTATTGATTTTGATAGTTAACTAAATTGATTCCATGACTTTTATTTAAAATGAATTCTAATGCTTCCGATGAGTTATAGTATTTTTGTTTTTTTTCACTCTTGCATACCATATTTGTCAACAATGATTTCCTTCAGCCGAAAACTTTCTTGATGAAACAGGTACGTTCCTCGACATCTTCAGCTCGCCCATGAGCATCATCAATACCTGACGGATCACCTTCATAATAACGTTCTGGACAAGCAGCCTATAAAAACATCCTGCTTTCTTTGCATCAATACCGTGTGAGAATTTGTTTGTTTTTAAGTTTTTTATGTGCAAAAACTTTAAAGTTTCAAGAACAATAAGCAACTATCTTTAATTATCTTTTACATCCTGTCAACTATAAAAACAGCCTGTTTTCTCTGTATCTGTTTGAAAATTTGGTCTCCATGAAAATTTTATATGCAAAAACGTCAAAAGTTGTAGATGTTTTTCTCCATTTGGGGACATTGTGCATTCGGAAGTTATAGATGAAATAAGGTTTTTGACAATTTATGAGGTGTCTCGTTGACTGTGTAGCTTGAGCTTGCATGACAATACCAATTGTCTTAACGATGCGTGCTACAGTCGCCAAGCGAGTTTGTTGAAGATCATTAAAGTTGTTCTATCCCCTAAAACTTCTTTTTCTAACATGGGAGCATCAAGTGATTAAGATAGATCATTTTATTGAATGAATGTCTTTTTGAAAGTAACAAGTAAAGAGGTTTTTCTTCTCAAAAATTTGGAGTCGCTTCAGTTTGTTTTAATTTAAGTTTCACCCTAGGATGAAACAAATGGAGCGACTTCTCATTTGAGTTCGTTGCTTGAAAGGAGCATTTTTTGGTTTTTGTTGCTTGTTTTTTCCCTGTTCCTTTTTCTTTTCATGCAAAACTTGCTGAGTCCCCCTCCAACTTGTTTTTTGATCATGCTTTTCAGTGTTTCAAGGCTTGTTTTGGTGTTTTCTTAGGGGTTGCTATCTCTATCATTTCGTGTGATGCATGAACAAGGATTTCTTTTCCAATAATTTTTGCTACCGCAACTATAGTTTTTCGATGTGGTGCAACTTGTCCAAAACCAATAGCCAGAAAGTCGAAGTCACTAAAACGATGCCTGTAATGTTCTAAGAAGTGTGGCATTGACGCTTGATTATGATAGTACGCCTCATAACCCTACTCAGAAAACTGCTGTAATTTCAATTTTGAAGCAACTGTTCATCCTCCTCCCGCAAATAGTATAAGCCTACTGGTTTCTCTGCGCAGAAAAACCGCAATGCTCTAGATGTTTTTCAATTAAATCATCTAGAGCTTTTGCACTGATTTTTTTCACTGCTGCAAAAATAACCGCTTTCATTGTTATCAATGACTTATAAAAAAAATGCTTTGCTCTTACGCACAACATGAATAAAAATGTTTTTCAAGTAAAAAAAAACATCCTTTGGGTTTCAGCAGAGATATGAATAGTGTAGTCGGTGGTGCTAATTTGTGATGTTAGAAAGCTATGAATACGACAAGATTATTTATAGCCAAAATGTTAGCCCCTCTATCTCTTACACTTTTAAAACCTAAGCTTCTGGGAAATTTTGGGCTCTCAAAAGTAATGCTTTCTCAAAAATACATCCACATTCAAAGAGCTTTAGTGAAGAGTCGATGCTGAAGCTGAAATTATCAAGATCTTCCTTTCTATTGATTTCGTTGAATACATTTTTCGATCTGACGATACTCAATTTTTGCGATTTCACCTGTCTCTCTATCACATGGACTAGGTATATTCACCTAAGTTTAGGCTTCCTTCAAATTATTTTTTTTGTAATACACTAATTTGGTATCTGTTAGAATATTTAAATAGTGCAAAACGTTGTTTCTGTCAATGCAACTCTCCTTTTGCCTTGTAGATTGATATCTTCGCTTGACATATTTTTAAAGCTTGCTAACGAGTTGGCAATGGAATCTTTCCTTGAGGCTGATGACACGAAGATAACAGTGAAGGAATCTTCGTCGCCTCTAAAATCGGCGGGTTTCTACTTGGTCTGTCAAATATTTCATAAACTTCGTAAGTGAATTGTTGCTTTTATCCTTTTCAAAAAGGAATGTCATTATTTTTTTTTTCAACA